TGCGCCGGGCCGCGCCCGCTGCCCCATCCCTCGCCGCGCGGGGCGGAAGGCGGCTGTCACGTGAACCAGGCGCGCGCCGCGAAGTGGGGGGGCACAGCGCGGCCCTGAGGAGGGGGACGCCAGGGAAAAATGGCGGGGGGCAGGGAGCGAGGCAAGGGGCCGCACCGCCGCCACCCTGAGACCCCGCCGCCCTTACCTTGTTTATTCTCGTTGAGCTGCCGCTCGAACTCATCGAAGTCCGACATGCTGAAGCGGCCGCGTAGGGCCTGAGCAGCTCTCGCCTCGCCTTGCCGCCCGCCCGCTCCGGCTGCTTCGGCTACTTCCGCCGCTGGCTTCGGCTACTTCCGGCCGCCGCCGGCGCTTCGGCGCCTACCTAATCAAGGCCCCAAGCGGTCCGCCCCGCCCCGACTCCGCCCCCTCGCCCCGCCCGTCCCCCAACGAGCGGCCCCTCGCCCCCAAGCCTGGCTCCGAAGCGCGTCGGCTATTTCCGGACGGTCGACCCAGAGTAGGCAGTGGACGGCTTCGGCTGCTTCCGAAAACACCCGAAGCGAGGGTGTCCGGCTTCCGACGTTTCGGTAACTTTTCGGAGATTTAGCGACTCAACGTTCGGAGGTTTCCGTGGGTCCTCGCGTTCCTCTGCGTCCAGCTCCCTCTAAGGGTTTCTGTTCCTACAATTCAAACCGTCCCAGTCTTTAGTTTTGTCCAGAGATTCGCTCGTCACCTCTCCGCCGTCTCTGTTCAACCAGTCGGCCAATTCCGACTATTCTAACGGTCCAGCACTTCAGGACTTTCTGAAGGGTTTCCGGCGCTCGACCACGGCTCTCTCCAGAGATTAAGATCGATTCCCAAGCTTCGGGTCTTTCCGGAGGTCTCCACCCCTTCCGGGGAACTTCGGCTCCTTCCGCCACTGCTTCGGGAAACCCTCGCTCAGAGAGTACAATTTCGGCTTTTTCCGTCTACAGTTCGGCTCCTTCCGGCTTCGAGAACCAAATAGGGAGGGAGGACCGAGGTGAGGTGGGTCAGGGGAAGGGATACAGAAAAGGGGGCGGGGTCCTGGCCTTCGGCATCTGTCTCTCCGGGTGAAGAGAGCAGAAAAAAGGACCGACCTCGGGGAGGCCTGTAAAGGTGCGCAGGACAAAAGCAGCCAGGCGGTGAAGGGTGCGCGCGGCTGCTGCGGAGGTTGCGAGCGCGGCTTTTTGAGATTGCGCACGTTGCTAAAGAGGCGGTGAGACGGCCTTCTGCGCCTGCGTAGAGGCCGGTCTTAGGCGCGGTTTCTCGCTGCTCGGAGAGGGAGAAAGGGCTCTAAAGTGCACAGTACGCATGCGCGAAGTTTTCCAAGCCAAGAGCCGAGGTGTTGAATTCTGGACTGTTAATGGAGGCTGGCTCGGCTGGTTGCCTTGGCAACCACGTAAGCGTACTCGCGCCCCTCCTGCGGCGCAAGCGCGGCAGACGGTAGTAGCGCTACTTCCGGGACAGGGTCGACCTTGTGTTACTAACCCATCTCCAACCCCGCGGGCTCAAGGGCCAGCGCGTCCACAATCCGCCTGTGCTCCACGCGTCTCCTCCGCTAGAGGTCCGCGAGTCGCGCTTTCCTCTGCGGCGCCTCGAGCCCAGATAGCCCTGCGGATAGTGTCCACGCCGCCTCCCGGAGCCGGCACCTCCGGCTGCGGCTCCCCCTCCCACCCCTGCCTCCTGGGGCTAATTACACCCTGTCCTCCCAGCCTCCCGGCTCCCGCTGGTCCGCCCCCGTCTCCGTGGCGACGGCCGCCCCCTCCGAGGAAGGTCTGGGACCCAGCCTATTCCAAATTTTCACGTCTCTTTAATTTAAATGCTCTGAATAATTCTGTCTCACGTGGAATGAGGCCGGCCCCCGCGCAGTCGGGTGAAACAGGTGACAGCCCTGGCAGGCAGGCGAGAGACAGGCCTGATGCAGGGACGCGCGCCTGGACCGCGCCGGGGAGCGGAGGGTCCGCCGCGGGCAGCGGCAGCATCACCGCTTGAAGCGGTAGGTGATGGGCAGCAGCAGCTTGCTTTTCTTGAGCGCCTGCACCTTCTTGAGCGTCTCGTCGTCCAGCGCCAGGAAGCAGCGGCGGGAGTACTCGAGCAGACGCTCCTTGGAAGGGTCGAACTCGCCCACCTCCGCCAGCTTCTCAGGCGCCACGATGAGCAGCTCTGCGATGGGCGTGGTCAGCGCCACCGTGTTCCGGTCCACGCGGTGGTGCTCGAAAGCCCGAGACATGCTCTTCAGCTTCTGGAAGGTGCCCAGGATCTTCTTGTAGCGACAGAGGACCCCATCGGCGTCCTTCACTGCAGGGACAAGGGGACAAGCGGACAAGGGACATATGGGTACCAAGAGGGGAAGCAGAGTAGAAACGGGAAGGCAGATGTTGGGGGGACACACGGGGGAGGAAGAGGAGGCAGGGATGTAAGAAACAAATCCAAGAAGAGAACAAAACAGAAAATAGGAGGAAACGAGATGCAGCAGTTGGACAGCAGGAATTGAGACAGACACTTAGGAAATGAAAGGCTGGACTCGGGGACCAGGCGCTCCAGACCACCGCCCCAGCCCTGCCCCCGGGTTTGCATGGATGCTCTCTCCTGAGGTGGGCCCAGTAGCCCCCTCTTTCTGAGGAGGAAACAGACTCGAGCAGGTGCCCAGGGTCGCCCTGCTGGAGGTGGACCAAAGTTCAAACAAAGTGAAGCCAGGGCCACACTCTGAGGCTAGACGATCGCCCCGGATCTGGGCTTTTTAAATTGGGAGCGCGGAGCATGTGCAGAATCCACGCGCCAGCCTTGATGCTGACAGCCTGACCCATGCAGCCTGCTCACCCCGCTGCCTCTCCCGGGCCTTGGGCTTCCCGAGGCGCCTCCGACTGGCACTTCCCTTCTGCCTCTGCCGCTTCCTCTCACTGGCACTGCCTTCTTCAGATGCCCCACTGAGCGAGGAGGCAGCCGACTCGGGGTCTGAGGCTTCGCCCCCAGCCCCAGCCCGGCTGTCCCCCTCCACCCGCCGGGGCCCAGGCTTCATGCGGCAGTGGTCCTCTGGGGAGAGACACAGGTGAACTGGGACACCAAACATCACATCCCTGATCACAAGGGAAAGCGGGGGCTGGGGGGCTGAACCCCAAGGGGCCAGTGGACAGGGAAGGCAGTCCACACACCGGCCCTGCAGAATGAAGGAGAGCCAGCTGGGCTTGGGAGCGTCTTGGCAGACCTGTCAAGTTGGGGCTGGGGCTTGCTCCCCCACTGGACAGAGACTTCAGAGAATGAAGGTGGCATTCCCTATGGAGAGTTTTCCGAGGACCCAGAGGGACTTCCGGAGAACAGGGCCTGGAGACCCAGAGGCAAGCCCTCAAAAGAAACCAAGGCTCAGTGTGGGAGGTTAGAGAAAGTGACCACCTTCACCCGGGGACCTGGGGGGGCACTGGGGTCCTGCTGAGAAAGCCTGGGGGGCCCCTATGCACAGCCATCCAGGATGAGGCCCTCATGGGGAGACAGGGAGGTCCAGATCCCCAAATGCTGGGATCCCCAGCTACACAGATCCCTCCCCCAAAAAGCACAGGGGTGACCAGTCAGGAGCTCCCCAGGATCCCAGCTTGGAGCATGTGGGATGCAGTGAGACGGGGCAGAGGGAAGCCCTCTCCGGGGAGCAGGAGTACTGGCCAGAGGTCAACAAGCAGGCTGGGGGGCCTGCATTGCAGCGGGGCAGGCAGCACCCAAGACCCGCGCCCACAGAAGGGGCAGAGCCACCGGCAAGGGTTCAAGGACCGTGAGGAGGAAGAAGCAGGGACTGAGCAGGGGCGGGGAAAGGCAGACAAGCTCCATGTGAGCGGGCTGAACGCTTGGAACTGAATAGACAGGGCTGCCCAGAGGGGCCAGAAGCGGGGCGGTCTCCCCATGCAAGGAGATGAAGGAGGTGCGCTGAGGGGCTCGGGCCGACTGAGGGCTCAGGGGCTGGAGGCGGGCGGCCCACTGGAGGTTGTACTTAGGATGGGTGATCATAGACATCAAACCGGAAGTCAGCTCAGCGGTCCCGCAGACAGGGAATTGGAGAAGGCCGAGGTGCCAGGTCCCCACCACCCACAGTAGGCTTCCGGCCTGGCGCCAGGGTGCCCGGGGTCTGAGAACTGGCAGCGCCCGCACCTGCGTCCACCCGGGCCGAGGAAATGAACTTGTCCAGCTGACACCGAAGGAAATCCCTCTCCTCCTCCAGGTCCTCGATGCGCTTCTGCAGCCAGGAGTTCCGCTCCAGGGCCATGTGCAGCTGGGCCTTCACCCGGTGCATCAGGGCCAGCGTGGGGGACGCTGCCTCCGGGGGTTCTAGGAGCGCGGGAGGGGCCCGGGTCACGTCGCAGCTGAGGGCGGCGCCCCAGCTGACTCTGGTCCCTCCTCGGCCCCCGGGCTCACCCTCGAAGCTTCCTCGCGAGGGGCTCAGGCTGTAAAAGATCTGCGAGTCTAGGTGCGGCGCCTCCTCGAAGGGGATGGAGATCTCGAAGGCCTCGTCGTCCTTCTTCACTAGAGAGGAGAGGCCCGCGGGTCACGGGGGTCGGGCGCCCTTAGACCCCCCAACCGCGGCGGCCCGGGGCGGGGGCGGGGGCCCCGAGAGGGGAGGGACGGCTGCTCACTTGTGCGCCGGCGGCTGCCTCTGTCGCTCATGGCTGGCTTCTTGCAGAAGGCCCGGGCCGCCTTGGGGGCACCGGGCAGAAACGGCGGCCACAGTCGGAGTCAGTCCTGGGGCGGGGGGGACCCCCACTGCTCGGGAGGGAGAAGGAGCTCGGAGCTCGAGGCCGGACCCCGACACTGCCGGGACTCGGCTTTCAAACTGGGCGCCTATGGAATGATGGAGCTGAGGGCCCTGACACCTCGATCCTGGGGAGAAGTTGGCTGGGGACCCGGACTCCCCTTGGAGTCGACGCAGCGGGGACCTCCGGCCTGAATGGGAAGGACCTCATCGCGGCCGTGCGCACAGTGGGGAGCGCGCCCCAACTTCCCAGCGGAGCACAGGGGTCCAGCCCATGCGCACTGCACCCTCCCTGGCCCCCTCCCCCGCACGCGCGTGGGCGAGCAGGACCACCCCCCGTAGCGGGGAGGCTGGGCGCATGCGTGGTGCGGAGAAGGTCGCGCGTGGAGATGCGCCCCCCCGCCCCCGCCTTTTGTCCCGCGGGTGGGAGGGGACTGTCATGGAAAGGGGTCTTACCAAGGGTGCGCACTCGGCCACCATCCCCTGCCCTCGGTGCCTGCGGTCCGAAGGCCTAGGGTTCCCCGCGATCACCCACCCGCGCGCGGAATCCAGCCCTGGGACCGGCGGTTGCGGCGCCCATGCCCGGCGCCGGGGAGCGTCTGCAAAGTGTCACGGGGAGCGGAGAGGAGTGCGCGCCCACCCGTGGGCAGGCGGCGGAACTGGCCCGAGCCAGGGAGCGGGGGTGAGTTTGCGAGGTTGCCCCGTCCGTCCCGCGCCGCGCGGCCTCCGGAAGCTCCGCGCCCAGGTGAAGCTCGCCGTAGACACCCGGGCTGGCGCCCGCACTTGCACGACAGCCCCTTGCAGAACTCACCCCCCACCCTCCCCGGAGCGCAGGCAGGGAGCGTCGCGAAATTCCCATCTTGCAGAGCTGGCGCGGCGCCGGGGGTCCCCCGGATGGTGGCTAGGCCGTGGGGGAAATTGAAGCCGAAGAAGTCTTGTGCTAGTAACCCCCTCCCCAAAGAGCTTAACACTGTCCTCAGCCAGGCCTACGAGGATAGGGGTCAGGGGCCAGAACGGTCACCACCATCCCGTCCAGTGGTTAGAGTTGGGAACGGAGCTGGAGTCCAGCTCAGCCACTCTGCTGCTCCCCAGCCCGGGTGACCTCAGCCGTTAACTGGGGAGAGTACAGCGCCTTGCGGGCTCCTTGCGGGGGTGCAGCAATCAAACACTCGAAAAGCGCAGCGCGGCGCCTGGCTCCAGCGGGGCTCGACCTAAGGCCGGGGGTCAGCACCCCGCCTGCCCCGGCGTGCGCCTTCCCTCTGCTCTGCGCAGTGCGAGCGGGAGATCAGTCCCTCGCGCAAAACGAGGTCGGAGCGGGGAAAGAAGCCGTGGCATAAAAGAAGCAATGAAAAGGCATCAAAAAGGCCGATGTTTATTAAGCTCGAGGCTCAGCTCCACTTGCGTCTGTCGCGTTCACCTGCCACACGCGTCTTGGGGAGCACAGAGCGAGTGAGTGCTGGCCTGCTCCCCTCCCATTTGGCTTTACAGAGAAGTTTTAGCCTGGGTCAGAAAGTCCAGGGGGAGCCACTTGCCCTAGATTGGTGTTTTTCAAACTACAGGTTCATGGGCAGAGAATTTAATACAGTAGGATGGGCTCTACATTTTAAAAAATTATGGTGGAAAAATCGGGGTGACTTGCAATTACTGTTAAAATTTGCCATACATTGTGTGTGTCTGTATACTGGTCGTCATTTAAACCATGTTACTGTGGATCGTGTTTGTTTAAAAAACACAAGTTTTAAGACACTTCCAGGGTGACACAGGTCTTCAGGGTGGGCCAATTCCAACTCCCCAGCGGGCCGCTGAGCTCTTTCTACCAAGCGTGAGCAAGGACGTCCATGACACTGTCTCCAAAGTGCTCAGCGCCGGGACGTGGTGTACATGCTGTATCGTATATTCAGGCCCGTGTCATCCGTGTACATGGAAAGGCTTCCTGAAGGCGCCCGGCCACTCGGCTGAGGCAGGAGATGCCACGCACAGCATCTGCCCCCCGGTCAGCACTGCGCCGGGAATGTCTCACGTCTTGAGGCCAGAGGGCTCCATTCTGTGAGGACTCAGCCAAAGCCCACGGCTCTTCCTCCTGGCAGGGCTCTAGAGAGCAGGCGTGTGCGTGTGCGCGTGTGTGTGTGTGTCTGTGTGTGTCTCCTGGGCCCCGAAAGCCGCCTGCAACTCCGCGGGGTCTGGGGGCTTCAAGGGATGCCAGGCCCAGCGCGTCTCACGGATGCTTCCACCGCGTGTGCTTCTGCAGCGTGTTCTGCTCCATAAAGCGGCGCGGGCAGTGCGGGCACTGGAAAGGGCGCTCCCCGGAGTGCACGCGGCTGTGCTGAGCCAGCTCTCCCGCATCCCGGAAGCGGCGCGGACACAGTGGGCAGGCGTGGGGCCGCCCGCCACCTGCCCTGTGGATGGAGTGGTGCCGCGCCAGGTGGCTGGCCCGCTTGAACGCCTTCCCGCACGTGTCGCACTCGAAGGGCTTCACCTCCGAGTGCGTGATGCTATGTCGCTGAAGGTAGGACATGTACTCGAACACCCTGGAGCACACCGGGCAGCTGTAGCACTTTTTCTGGGCAGAAGCCCCATCGACCCCCGGCTCCCTCTGTGACTCCTCGTCCACCAGCACAGTGTAGGGGACACCCTGGGTGTCAATGAGAAGGTAGTGGCTGGGCCTGGGAGAGGGTGACGTCAGGGGAGGTGCGGTGGAGGAGGAAGGTCCAGGTTCCGGGCACCGGCCCGTCTGAGGGAGCGGGCCCTCCATGGCCTCTACCGAGGGAAGTGCCAGGGCCTGGGGACAGGGGGGCGGCAGCACCGGCATCCGGAGGGTGGCTGAGGCCTAGGGGTGCAGAGAGGGCCAGGGGTCGCTCTGGAGATGGCAGCACGGTCCCGGGCTCCATCTCTTGCGTCTCGATGTCCTGCCCGGTCCTTGGCATCCCCCAGCTCCAGCCCTGTTACCCACGTCTGGGCTCTGCAACGCTCCAAGTCGCTCCTGTACCCTGGGCTCCGCCACCCACGTTACTCACCGGATCTTCCCCCACGCCTCCTGCCAC